AAAAAAGGAAGAACAACAGAGCATAGTGGCTAAAGCTAAGGACTCAAACACATAAGTTAGATTCCATAAAACATCGTCGACCGATATGTCAAACCACCGGAAAATCCAGGCGCCGTTGAATAGGTAGGAGAAGTCGAATTCCGGCCACCGGAGAATGGTGGAAAGATGAAACTCCGGCCACCTGAAAGCTGACCAATAGTTCCACCATAGTCCTATGCACATCCCTCACAAATTAAAGCCAATTCTTGGATTTGGTTTTCTGATTTTGAATTTTTTTTTTTTTTTTTGGTGTGTTTTTTAAGCTTTCAGACAGTATATATATATATATACTGTGCTGTAATGGGGTCATCTGAGAAGAGTTTAGACCATAGGATTAGATATTTTTCAAGTGAAGATTTGTTGTGATAAGAATTAATTATACACGTTTTTTATTTGTTTATTTATTATCACTTAATTAGAATTTTTGAATGAAATACTAATACAAAATTATCTAAACAAACGAGCTTATGGACCTCGTAAACAATAATAATCTTGATATGGAGTAAGTCGCAAATATGGACCTCGTAAACAATAATAATATATAAACTACTCATAAAAGCCCAAGAAGGGCAGTCCAGGGCAGCCCGAAGCGGTAGGCCCAATCCCATTAAGAGTATAACCAACCTTAAATGGTGATGTCGTTGTATATTCCCGTTACTTTACGTCGCGCAGCAACACGAGGTGAAGACGCAGAGCTCTAGAAACTATGACATGATCTTGAATCGGGGATTTGAACGAGATAGCACTCACTCAACCTTAAAGTCTATTAAAAAACTTTTATGAGTAATTTAACATTTTTCTACTAAAATACATAATGCGCGCTCAAATATTCTTTACGACTTGATCGCCGGAGCTTCTACGTCAAGAAAACTCCTCCCGATGGTGCAAGAACGGCATCCGATCGAGATTCCGGCAAAGTTGGAAGCTGACGTAACATAAGCAGGCGGACATCACACCCGGCAAACCGAACACTACCATAGTTAATTCCTCAGGACTCTAATTTTGTCTAAATAATTCAAAAAAATTATTGGTAGGAAATAAAGTAGATTGTGGCTTGGCTTCAAATGCCGCAGCCTATACCGACGCAATAAATAGAGTCACACTCTTAGTATAGTTATCTGTTATTTCTGCTACTCTCTATTAATGGACCAAAGGGTGTAGTATGCCCCATTTGTAATGGATTATTTTATATAAGTTGTTATTATTGTATTTTATAAAGTAAAGTATTTTTTTTGGTTATAATATAATATTGTACTAAATTTTTACACGTAGCACAAAAAAGAACAATAATAATAATTATGCAAAAATAGAACAATATTTTACTACCAATAAGTAATGTTTAAATTAATAAGAATAAAAGAGAATTTTCAATTTTGGGGATTAAAAAATAAAATAATAATAATGATAGAACAATGATCCTCCAACCAACCCAAAAATGATCTCTTTTGCTGCTGCTTTTTATTTTATTTTAAATATTTAGAATATTGCTCTTCTTATCCCACCGCCATATTTTTTTAATCTATTTTCACTCAGATCTGTGTTTTTTTTTACTTTGATTTTCATCACCTCTTTTTCCCGCGTGTATACGCACACTTCTGCACACACAATTCACCATTTTCAGAGTTTCTAAATGTTCGTTGATTGATTCATAGTGAAGCAACCGTGAATTGAAAATGTTGATCTATGGACCGTTAACGCCTGGGCAGGTCAGTTGATTGATCACTGATTAGCTTTTAATTATGCGCATGCGTGGAATTTATGCAGTAAATTGATCTTCTTTTTGTTGGGTAATTAGTTTTTCTGGTGAATCACGAGTGTTCAAGTAGCATTTTAGGAGTAATTTGTGTATTTTTGCGAGTTTTTGATTTTGGGAAGTGGTTGTAGTGGAAAATGCTTGAAATTATGATATCACTGGCTACTGCTTGGCAATGAACAGTGTGCAAATGCGAGATTTTTGTTCGATTTCTACGATTTATCTTGATTTAATTAGATCAGTATTTTAATAAAAGATTCGGTGATATTATTTACATGTTTTCTTGATTTGATTAATGCAGGTGTCCTTTTTCCTGGGACTAGTACCGGTATTTGCTGCTTGGTTATACTCGGAATATTTGGAGAATGCGAAGAGTTCATCATTGCCCAAGCAGTAAGTGGAAGCGATATCTCGTGCTGGACTTGTTTATGTTTATGCAATGTTATATGGAGATGACACTTTGAATATCATAGGAGAATAGTCTTGGTGAAATTTGTTAGTGGTTGTTTTTTTAATAAATAGAAAATGAATTGCTGATTCACTGAATTTTAGTTGGCCCCTCTAAATTTCTTGTACTTTAGTGGCAGGAATTCTGATATCAATTTAGTTGAGTTGGCCGGAATAGAAATATTTGAGAGACCGTGCATCCAGAATTGTACTTGTCGTCTCATTTTATAAATACTAGAAATTGATTTACAGTTTGCCTATTTGTTTTGTTGTCTGCTATTGAGTTGGCCCCTCTAAATTTCTTGCACTTTAGTGGCAGGAATTCTGATATCAATTTAGTTGAGTTGGCCGGAACAGTTAAAGAAGATGATAGAGCTGTTCTTTTGGAAGGAGGTGGCCTTCACTCAGCCTCTCCTACATTACGGAATTCATCAGTAACATCCCAACTCACCAGGTTTGTGAAAAATAATTTTAAATTTTCACGGGTTCGTTTTATAACTTAACGTGTTTGTATTCACCGTCTTATCAGGCTTCTAATGCTGGACGAGTCATTCTTGCTGGACAATCGATTGATTTTGAGAGCCATGTATGTGTACAACTTCATTGACAGCCATAGATCTGTAGATATTATGTTTTAAGATTTTGTTTTAAATTATTTTTGTTTATACAGGTCGGAGTTTGGAGCCCTTTTAATCTACTTCTACATATGCGATCGCACAAATCTTCTTGGTGAAGCGAAAAAGGTCAGGACCTGAGTGTCTTTGTTTTTCCTTTTCTTTTTGGGATTTATGCGTGTCTTATATTAAATTAGGACCATGTACTTAGTTATTATGTTGTGCGAGGATCACGGGAAATGGGATAAAGGAATATTATATCTTATAGTTGAAAAATAAGACATAGAACTGTAGCCATATGATATTTTACTTCTTATATGCTTTTATATACTTATTCAATGGAGATATTGTATATGTATTTGGTGATAAGCTTTCTCAACAAGCTATCTTTTGTGTTGGCAGAGTTATAACCGGGATCTTTTCTTGTTCCTGTACTTCCTTCTCATCATAGTTTCAGCAAAGACTTCTTTCAAGATACATAATGACAAGTCACCATTATCTGGGAAGTCAATAATGTATCTAAACAGGCATCAAACTGAGGAGTGGAAAGGTTGGATGCAGGTAAATTTTGT